TCTCTGTTCTCTCTCTCTCAGCGTTCTAAGATCGCGGTCTATGAGAAGATGTGGTCGTATATGAAGTCGGCCGAGCCGTCGGTGTTCGTGAAGACGACGCCGGACGGGGTGGCGCGGGTCAGGAAGTCAAAGGGGAAGTTCGCCTTCCTGCTGGAATCCACCATGAACGAGTACATCGAGCAGAGGAAGCCCTGTGACACCATGAAGGTGGGAGGGAACCTGGACTCCAAGGGATACGGAGTGGCCACGCCCAAAGGGTCGGCATTAAGGTGGGTGGGATAATATAACAATCCAGCACTGTTGTTATAGTATTCCACCCCCCCTGATACCACCATGTCTCTCTCTCTCTCTTTCTCTCTCTGCCTGCCTGTCTCTCTCTCTCTCTCTCTCTTTCTCTGCCTGCCTGTCTTTCTCTCTCTCTCTCTCTTTCTCTGCCTGCCTGTCTTTCTCTCTCTGCCTGCCTGTCTCTCTCTCTCTCTTTCTCTCTCTCTCTCTCTGTCTGACTGCCTGTCTCTGTCTGTCTCTCTCTGTCTCTCTCTCTCTCTCTCTGACTGCCTGTCTCTCTCTTTCTCTGCCTGTCTCTCTCTGTCTCTCTCTCTCTTTCATCTTTCCGCTTTTCTCTTTTCTTCTCTTTTTTCCCCACTTTCTTCATCTTTCTCTTTTTTCTCTGTATCCTCTGCTTCCTTTTCTGTCTTCTACTTTCTTCTCAGTTCTGTTTCTCTCCTTCTCTTCTCTCTCTCTCCCTCCTTTCTTTCTCACATTCTTTTCCATCTTTTGCTTTCTCATCTTCTCCTTTCCTCTCTCACTTTCTTTTTCTCTGTCTTCTTTTCTCTTTATCGTTCTCTTTTTTCATTTACCTTCTAAAAAACTTCTTTTCTTTTATTTCTGTTCTCTTTTTTAATTTCTTCTTTCTTTTTCTTTTCTCTCTCTTCATCTTTCCCTTCCTCTCTCTTTCTCTCCTCCTCTCGTCTCTCTCTGAGGTGAAGGTAACGCGGAGTCGTGTGTTTGTTTGTTTGTTTGTTTGTTTGTTTGTTTGTTTGTTTTCTCTGCGCTGTGTTAACGTTGTTGATGTTTCTCTCAACAGAAAGAAACGTGTTGTTTTGGTTTTGCAGTTTTTCTCTGTTTGGTGCATTTTTTCTTTTCGTTCTCTCCCTCTGTTCTTCTTCTCCTCCTGCTCCTCTCTCGGTTCTGCTGGACGAGCGTGTCCATGTCCGTGTGTCTGACCGGTCTGCTGCCCATTGCTGTTCGACTGCTCTCTCTCTCTGCATGATGCATTCGCTTCTCCTCTTTTCTTTTTTTCTTCTCCTCCTGATGACGGACTATCCCTCCATTCTGCATTTCTCCACTAACCCCACCCTCTCTCTCTCTCTCTCTCTCTCTCCCTCTCTCTCTCTCTCTGCTCAGTGTTTCACGCCTCTCTCGCCCACACACGCTTCTGCCTGAACCCATCCAGCGCAGTAAGACCAACCAATCAAACAGCCCCTTCAATTAACCAATTAACCAATCTCTCCTTCTCGTACTGCCCCCTTTAACGAAGTAACCAACAGCTCTGCACTTCATTAACTGTGACTCCAGGCTCCGCCCACAAATGTCTTTTGCAGCTACTGTTGTTTTGATAAGATTCACAGAAAAATCCCCCTAAAAAACTGAAAAAAAAAACAGAGAAGAACAGAGTTTATATCACAATACCTACATTTAGAGTCAGTTATTCATTCAGCCTAATGAGAAACTGTAGAACAGACTGAGTTTATATCACAATACCTACATTTAGAGTCAGTTATTCATTCAGCCTAATGAGAAACTGTAGAACAGACTGAGTTTATATCACAATACCTACATTTAGAGTCAGTTATTCATTCAGCCTAATGAGAAACTGTAGAACAGACTGAGTTTATATCACAATACCTACATTTAGAGTCAGTTATTCATTCAGCCTAATGAGAAACTGTAGAACAGACTGAGTTTATATCACAATACCTACATTTAGAGTCGGTTATTCATTCAGCCTAATGAGAAACTGTAGAACAGACTGAGTTTATATCACAATACCTACATTTAGAGTCAGTTATTCATTCAGCCTAATGAGAAACTGTAGAACAGACTGAGTTTATATCACAATACCTACATTTAGAGTCGGTTATTCATTCAGCCTAATGAGAAACTGTAGAACAGACTCAGTTTATATCACAATACCTACATTTAGAGTCAGTTATTCATTCAGCCTAATGAGAAACTGTAGAACAGACTCAGTTTATATCACAATACCTACATTTAGAGTCGGTTATTCATTCAGCCTAATGAGAAACTGTAGAACAGACTGAGTTTATATCACAATACCTACATTTAGAGTCGGTTATTCATTCAGCCTAATGAGAAACTGTAGAACAGACTGAGTTTATATCACAATACCTACATTTAGAGTCGGTTATTCATTCAGCCTAATGAGAAACTGTAGAACAGACTCAGTTTATATCACAATACCTACATTTAGAGTCAGTTATTCATTCAGCCTAATGAGAAACTGTAGAACAGAGTCAGTTTATATCACAATACCTACATTTAGAGTCAGTTATTCATTCAGCCTAATGAGAAACTGTAGAACAGACTCGAGTTTATATCACAATACCTACATTTAGAGTCGGTTATTCATTCAGCCTAATGAGAAACTGTAGAACAGAGTCAGTTTATATCACAATACCTACATTTAGAGTCAGTTATTCATTCAACCTAATGAGAAACTGTAGAACAGACTGAGTTTATATCACAATACCTACATTTAGAGTCGGTTATTCATTCAGCCTAATGAGAAACTGTAGAACAGACTGAGTTTATATCACAATACCTACATTTAGAGTCGGTTATTCATTCAGCCTAATGAGAAACTGTAGAACAGACTGAGTTTATATCACAATACCTACATTTAGAGTCGGTTATTCATTCAGCCTAATGAGAAACTGTAGAACAGAGTCAGTTTATATCACAATACCTACATTTAGAGTCGGTTATTCATTCAGCCTAATGAGAAACTGTAGAACAGACTCGGTTTATATCACAATACCTACATTTAGAGTCAGTTATTCATTCAACCTAATGAGAAACTGTAGAACAGACTGAGTTTATATCACAATACCTACATTTAGAGTCAGTTATTCATTCAGCCTAATGAGAAACTGTAGAACAGACTGCGTTTATATCACAATACCTACATTTAGAGTCAGTTATTCATTCAGCCTAATGAGAAACTGTAGAACAGAGTCAGTTTATCATAATAGTTACTCTACATGCTCTTTGCTCTAAATAAGGAGACGCCTTTGTTTTAGTTCATTTTGATTGCTGTTTTTTTGTGACCCAGTCTGGAAAATTACATGAATACTTGAACTACTATGCAGATATTGTGATATAAACCAACGTCTTTAAAAGAGTCTGTTCACTCTGCGGCCATCTTTTCAGCGCCACCGGTCAGTTGTTACCAGCCATGTGTGAGTCCAGACTCATCTCTCTGTCAATGAGGAGAGACTAAAACACACGAAACTGAAAGTCAAATTACTCTTTAAAATATATATTTAAAATTTCCTGGGAAAATCTGACAAAAACCTCGTAAACAGTTTGTGGCGTTTGGCTCAGTTTTTGGGTTGTTCTGCTGCTGCACTCGCACAGATCCCACAACGAGGGGGGCTTTCCCCACCCACAGCAGAACCAGCAAGCTGATTGGCTCTTTTTGTTGAAGGGCGGGACTTCCCCACAAACAGGTGCCATGTTGAGTGTTCTGAGTTTTCCCATTCAGATTCCGACCGGCGAGCGTCTCCTCCTCCTTTACAGCGTCTCCGTACAAACTGAGTCACTATAAACTCACAGCAGCAGCTACAGAGGAAGGCGTTTGTGGGCGGAGCCTGGATTCGTTAAGTCAGTTACTGACCCTCCATCGTTATCAGTCCACTGCAGTATTAGATTTCTCACGGACCTGATTCTTTTCTTACGAGTTATGTTTTATCGTTTCAAGAAGTGCTGTGAACCTGGCTGTGCTAAAGCTGAATGAACAGGGCCTTTTGGACAAGCTGAAAAACAAATGGTGGTACGACAAAGGAGAGTGTGGCAGCGGAGGAGGAGACTCCAAGGTCAGCCTCAGTCTCCACTAACAAACAAACAGACAGACAGACAGACAGACAGACAGAATGAGCCACGAGTAATCGGCAAGGCTGTGACCTATGACCCCCGGCACCAGTAACGAGAAACCACCTGAGCTCATTACCATGACGACCGTTGCTGACTGCTGCTGCATTGTTATTTTGGGGTGTTGTGGCTTTTTGGAGGTATTGATGGAGCAAAAAGAGATCAGACTGAACCCTTTACTCGACTAACAGAGCAGAGAGAGAGACAGCGAGAGAGAGAGAGGAGAGAGAGGGAGAGACAGAGAGAGGGAGAACTGAGGACTCAGCGAGGGAGGGAGGGGCGTCTGTATCGCTGTAGCTTTAAAACGTGTAGTTTATAGGATTCATTCCCGTCAGTGCGGCTGTGTTTGTTCGTTTAGTCTGTAAGTCGGTTCCGTTCAGCTGTAGTTCACTGAGCTTATTTTACAGTGCAGTGTTTTTATTAGCGTTTACGTTTAGTTTGGTTTGGTTGTAGTTCAGGTGTAAATATATATAATTAGTAGTTTGGTTGTAGTTCAGGTGTAAATATATATAATTAGTAGTTTGGTTGTAGTTCAGGTGTAAATATATAATTAGTAGTTTGGTTGTAATTCAGGTGTAAATATATAGTCAGTAGTTTGGTTGTAATTCAGGTGTAAATATATAATTAGTAGTTTGGTTGTAGTTCAGGTGTAAATATATAGTCAGTAGTTTGGTTGTAGTTCAGGCGTGAATATAATCAGTAGTTTGGTTGTAGTTCAGGTGTAAATATATATTCAGTAGTTTGGTTGTAGTTCAGGTGTAAATATAATCAGTAGTTTGGTTATAGTTCAGGTGTGAATATAATCAGTAGTTTGGTTGTAGTTTAGGTGTAAATATATAATCAGTAGTTTGGTTGTAGTTCAGGTGTGAATATAATCAGTAGTTTGGTTGTAGTTCAGGTGTGAATATAATCAGTAGTTTGGTTGTAGGTCAGGTGTAAATATATATTCAGTAGTTTGGTTGTAGTTCAGGTGTAAATATATAATCAGTAGTTTAGTTGTAGTTCAGGTGTGAATATAATCAGTAGTTTGGTTGTAGTTCAGGTGTGAATATAATCAGTAGTTTGGTTGTAGTTAGGGTTGCCATGCAGTTGTGAAAGGTGGCGTGTGAGTGTAGGCTACTTTTTTCATCTCCATGGCAACAAGGGTAAGTTATAGGTGTTAATAATAATAATAATAATAATAATAAATTAATCACACCAGTTGTCCTTTGCATTGTGTGAACGTTTCATGATGAACAGACCAATCAAAACACTCCGCAGTCACTATTTTGGAGAAACATCAAATCATCAAAAAGGAAACTTTCCGGACGGAAACGCTTTGAGTTTCAGTGTAAAGTGTTTTATTCTCAGTCATTTTGGAGCGTTTTGATTGGTCCGTTCATCATGACAGTGTAAAGTGTATATGAAAACATACATAATCGTAATTTTAAAGAAGTACTGTGATCGTTTCTCGCTGACTCACTAAAGCTGCCAAACCCCACCGTTGGGATGAAAGCTCAGAGGTCAAAGGTCGAGGGTCAGGGACAGTGAGGCGAACAGCGAAGTCTTGAGGGGACTAAGCATCACAGGCAAACGTGAGAATTCTAATGAAAAAAAACTACAATTCCCACAATTCCCATGCTGCACCACACACCAGGCTCACCTGTCACTCATCCTGGATGGAGCAGGAAAAAGCCCCGCCCCCTTCACAGCATCCAGAAAACCACAAACCGCCGGACGGCCTCGTGCCGGTTCTCTAGACCTTCCTCGGTTCTCCGGCTCCTGTGAGTCACCTTGTGCTCAGCCCAGCGAGGCAGCCCACTTCTCTGTTCTGATTGGCTCTCACACGTCCCCCTCTATTCTGATTGGCTCCCAGACTCATTCCCACAAGATCGAGCCGCCCGATCTGTGGGGAGCCGCGCTGAGCATGCTGGGTAGAGGGTGTCTAGTCCGTTATGACATCAGGACTGCATGTTTCTCATTTATTCACCTGCCTGTAACCCTGCAATGCATGATGGGAGTAATTCAACTCTTCACAGCAAATATACTGCACAGTGCACAGATTCAGATTTACATTAAAGAGATGCTGATTTATTATAAACCATAAATTAAAGCTGATTGATCGTCTCAGTGTGGGATTCAGGCTCAGTGTCAGACGATCAGCGTTTGAGCTGATAGATTTACACAATATAAATATTCTCTCAAACCCAGTTTGTTTGATTTGAAATTGTGTTTGAAGTTTGATTTTCAGTGTCGTCTTCATATCAGGTGAGGAATTTGGTAAGAAGTTGTGCTTTAATTCTTGACTGTTGGCCTGTTTGACATTTTCCCCAAATGAGTTATTTTACGTGTATTTGATGTGATTTTCTTTATTAGTTTGTAAAGTTTACAACATTTTGCTCTTTTTTTTTTAGTTTATAACATTTTGCTCTACTCTATAGTTTTGGTGGACATGAGCTGCGTTTGACTGAGGCTTATGACTCAGAATTTCTGACCTCCAATTAGAAAAAACTGCCCGTTACGCTGGGAATTCCTACTCGGACGTCATGAAGGTTTCCGAACTCCGACATCCGACGGTTATAGCTTTAAATGAGACACAGGTTTTTAAACTACAACTCTGACCACAAAGCTCTGTTTTTAAAGCTACATCATGAACGTTGAGGTCATCACTCAAATCGTTGATGTTAGCAGGTTAGCTTGTTGCTAACAGTAGAGCTGAACAGTGAGCGTCCACTTTTTAGCGGCTCTGGTTCTGGAAGTAAAAAACTACACAGTTTGAATCTCCACGGTAACAGTGACGCCTCTGATTGGTGGAGCTCATGTTAGGATGTGTGGGAAATGTATTTCTCTACAAGAAATGAGGCAAAAAACATGACTTTTTAAAACAGAGTTGAAAGCAGTGATTTGTGGCTTTAGCTGCAGTGAATCTCGTCATCTCAGTGTCTCGTCGCTCGCGGTGAATCTGCATTGGCTGAATAAAATACTGTGACGTAAAATCTCTTCGGTGATTATGAATGAGATGCTGTTCAGACTGTTTGGCTCAGTACTGGCGTCCGAGTTTGGAGGTCGAAAATGCCGTAATTCTGAGCTCAGACTTCAACAGTCAAACGCAGCAATAATGATGGACAGCAGGACGAATATTAACTGAATAACCCGAATAAAAATCCCTCAGAAAAGCCTTTTAACGCTGAGAGTCAGGTTGGTTCTTCGCTCAGGTAAGGTTTTCAGCAGCTCCTCATGAAGCCTCACCTGCTGCGTGTCGTTCTCTGAAACTCTTTCCAAACAGGCCTTTATGTAGCTGCAGACGGCTCGTCTCCTCCTGGACGCTCGATCCGGCTCAGGACTCGCTGCAGTTTTAATGGTTTAATAATTTGTTACAATTACTAAAAACAAATTTAGTAACATTCACTGTTTCTAATCCTTAGTAACTGAAGTTAATCTAGTGAAGATAATCCAGTTAATCTGGATCAGTCCTACAGACTAAAGAGTCTTGTGCCCAAAAAGCTTCCCAGCATTCTTAGTGGCTTTGTTAGCGTCAGTTCTTATTTATTCTTTTTTATCTAAGTTATAAATACAGGACGTTATTTTTGTGTCACTGCATGAAGCGACACCTTAGCGAGTGAAAATATCTTACATTTAGCCAAAATATCTAATACGTCTCTTTGTGAAATCCTGTAAGAAAATTATAAGATTATTTAACTTATTTTTAGACGGTTTACGCTTATTTTAAGTAATTATATTCAGTGAAAGTGTCTTATTCCAACAGCAGATCATTTTACTTGCATTATTTCTCAAAATAAGCAAAATTATCTGCATTATTTCTCAAAACAAGTAAATGATCTGTGAAATGAATGACACTTTCATAACATAAAACTACTTAAAACAAGCACAAAATGAAATAATCTCATAAGATTCTTATGATAGTCTTATAGTGAGAAATATTAGACATGATGACTGAAAATGAAGTTTGGATGCTTTTTATATGTTCGTTATCCTCATCGTGATGGTTTATCAGTTCAGCCCTGAATGCTAACCGAACGGCTAACATGCATGAAGCTGTTAGTGTCATTAGACTCAAATTTAAAGGAAAACTCCACTAATTTTACATAAAAAAACTCCACATAATTAACTGGTTAAGATGTAAACAGAGAGGTTCAGAGCGGTTCAGAGCGGTTCAGAGTGGTTTGGTGTGAAATGCTCTGTTCTAGAGAAACTTACCGAGTCAGAACTGTTCACAGTGGTGGTGATAGGAACCAGACGTCCACCTCTAAAAGCTCCCTCACAGAAAGTTCCTACATGAAATGGTTATGAATTCACTGCCTGATGACTGAGACACTGTTTTATGATAGTTTAGAGAACTTAAACTCCATTCATGGTGGAGGGATACATGCAGGGCGCTGTGAGGCAAAATAGTCCCCAAAGAAAACTTATTATTTCAGATTTTCCACTATTTTCATCATCAACATTCCATATAAACTCAGAAGACTCGTGTAGGTTCACTGGTGGTTCTGGATAGTAAATAAAATGTCTATATCTGTGTTGTAGTCATGGCGACGCCTGGTTCTTATCACCACCACTGTAAAGACATCTGAACCGTTTCACACCAAACCACTCTGAGTCACTCTGTTTACACCTCACACACTGAATTATGGGGGAATTTTGAAAAATGGGTGGAGTTCCCCTTTAATATAATGGAGTTATTTTAATTGATGCCGATACGTCATATAAAGATGAATATTTGATTCTATAGAGACTAGAAAGTAACTAAAACGCGTTTATGAGGTTATTAAAGCTCGAACCTGTTCAGTAAATATACATCATTTTTAGGCAGTAAAGTTGCATGATTTTTGTTAGATCAGTTAATTACATTAACAGTATATTTAACCCATTTTTTCTTTCAAAAGCAATTCTTAATATTCTCCTTGTTGCTCTATCCTGCGTGTGTTTTTTTCTGGATATTGACAAA